CTTGACCGCTTTCCCCACTGCCACTGCCTTCTTCTTTCATGCCATGTATTTTTAGATTGTAAACCCGAGGGCAGGGAATTGTCAATTTAACAATCCGGTAACCACTCTGAGAGCCTTTGTGGCTGAAGAGCAGGGTATAAATACTTTAAATCAATAAATAAAAGTGTGGGGGTGAAAACTTGGCTCCCAGCCTTGCCAAAGTTGCCCACTCCAATGTAAAGAGTAGCATCAATACTACCACAATGGTCTCTGCAAGGCAAGAGTGGGATGACATGGTCCATAGGATGCACCAAGGCACTTCCTGCATCTCCCAGAGCCTTCCCAAACCCCTTTTTCCTGCAGAATGGGGAACCCTGCCTCCAAAAGCAGCTTCATTAATACCACTTCATATCACGCTATGGGATGTCTAAGCGGTTTACAACTGTGAGCTGATTGCCCCCCCCCCCAACAGTTGGGTACTCATTTTAGCGACCTCGGAAGGATGCAGGCCTGAGTCGATCCTCAGCCCTGTCTGGTATTGAACTCGCAATCTTGTGGTCTATGGGTGAGTGGCTGCAGTACAGGCATTTAACCACTGCGCCACCAGGGCCTCCAGATGTCTCCAGAGGCCATAATTCTCAGCAAAAGCATAGTGTGTCTACTGCATAATTTGTTTTAGCTCCCCAGACTCTTAAAGCAAAAGCAGAATTGTCCTTCATCACAAACAGGAACTGTCGATCACTGTGGTTCCAAAGGTGGGGGGAAGTGGAGCAGGTGTTGCCCTTGAATTATCCATGGCTAGCATCACCAGACACCCTCCTTTTCCAGGACATGTCCTCCATTTCAACCTTCTGTCCAGGAGTAATTTCAAAATGTCCTCCATTTTGAGCATGACTAAAATGTATGCATTTAATTAGTGTATTTAGCTTTTATTTGGAAATGTCCTGCATTTTTCTTGAATGTTCTACATTTTTGCAGTGCAAAGGATGTCCTTTGTGGTTATGACATCGGGTCACCCTGTCCATGGCTTCCCAGCTCTAACATAAAGGGTTCAGGAAGGGCAGACTAATAAGCTTATCACACAGCACTTATAGGAACGGGAATGGAAAAGAACAGAACGGGACAAAAACGCATGTTACTGGACAGGAGAATGCCACCGATGCCACTGGGAGTCCCCAAACCATTCCCCAGCTGTTCCTGGCAGCCAATTTTTGAAGGAAGATTTCAGCTCAAATCTCCATTTTAAAGAGATTTCTTGTTAGACTGTTACTCAAGACGAATCATAAAGCAACAGCAACCCTATCACCATTATGCGAAGCAAGCAGAATCTACTTAGACCTCCCTCAGCCTCACATGAACCCAAACATTCACACATACATGCTTCTTTCAGCCAGCTGTAAAATTTAGACCTATTTCTTGCTGGGCCTCCCACATTTATAAATATACAGAAGGTGAATGGTCTCCTCCTTGTTCTGTTTGGTAGCTGTATCCAAGACGGTATTTCTCACTGGCCATCATGAGCAACATAAGAAACATCAGTCAATCATTTGTGCTCACTGAGAATACATCAACATCACTGGGAAGCATCAGTAAGCAAGTATGCACAGAATCACTACAATATGATCTGAGCCCTGAGTCAAATTGCGGTTTAATCTGCCTATGGAGTTTATCACATGCGGACCATATGTGCCTCCATCCTGATAATGATTAAAGCAGCTGCAACCCACAAAAGTGTGCAATGCGCAGATGATTTACACATGCAGAACACAATAATGTGTTAGAAGCTCATTAATAAAACAAGAAAGAAGGTACAACGTGCATTTGATTTTCATACAGACGCGTGTAAATCCCGATAATGGTTTGGGAATCACTTTTTTTGCACATGCGCACAGAATAAGTAGTTGCATCAGCAAAAATATCCCAGAGAAATAAACAATTTTATTTACATGATTTTCTTTATAACAATATACTGTACTGTCCCTTACTTTCCAAGAAATGGTATCCAACCAAAGTAAAAAGAACAAACATTACCCAGAGAAGTAGGAACGGTAGGAAAACAGCATAATAAGCTGCGTCCCTCTGGGCAAGCGGTGTCCCTGCCTTCCCTGAGCGGCTGTTCCTGTAAGAGTCCCAGCTAATGGGGAAGAGCGAGGGAGAAGAGACATTCATACAGAAGGAGACCCAAGCTTTTTCTCTGTGTCCCTGCCTTTGCCTCAGCAACTGTTCCTTTAAGAGCCCTGGCTACTGGCCCCAAAGAACCATGGGAAACCTGGAAACAAGTACAGAAATGGGGAGAATCCCGCAAATGGCTTTCACACTAGAGCAATTGCGCAAAAAAAGCAAATTCGTGAATGAAACGGAAATGAATTTACGGTATTTTCCTGAAAATGCCTGTTTGCTGGTTCATGTCACTTTCCTGTCAGATTCCAAATGGTTTGCGCACAATGTTGCGTGAAAACCATTTGCGCAATTGCGCTTAATACGCTGGATAACTGCGGGCTCTGACCCATTTAAACTTCCAATTTTCTCCATGTGATAAACTCCTATTAGCAGACTGGCCAGAAAGAATGTTCTTAAAGCAGCTCTGGAGTGGGAGGAAGGGATACATTCTTCCCCCCACATCCTGATAGCATTGAATAGAGATAGCTTGAATAGAGATAGCACAATATTTCCCCCCTGTACGGTGAAGAACAGCTGTTGGGAAAAGGGGGGCTCATTTAAAAAATACTAGAGAGGCAGGGTTTGCAACACTCTTCTCTCTCTACTGATGGGTACTGTCAAGATAGTTCTCAGCCCCTCACTCTTGTATTTTTATTGTTTGTTTTTAAAGATAAAAAAAATCTTAGAATGATTGTGTTGGAAGAAGTCACAAGGGCCATCAAGTCCCCCCTGCCATGCACAAATACACAATAAAAGCATACACAACACACACACACACACACACACCCTAACACCACCAAATGGCCATCCAGACTGTTTGAAAACCTCCAAACAAAGAGACTCCACCACACTCGGAGGCAGCGTATTTCACTGTTCAATAAATTATTCGTAAAGTTTAAGTGGAATCTCTTTTCCTGTACTTTGAATCCATTATTTTGTGTCCTATTCTCTGGAGCAGCAGAAAATAAGCTTGCTCCATCCTTAATATGACATCCCTTCACATATCCCTTGAAATAAGATGGGAGATCCCATCATAGATTTCCTCATATAACTCATAGCTTGGTTTTATGTCACATACTATTGCTAAAGACACAAGAAACAATTATTACTGGCCAATCTACTTTGGTGGGAAATCAATGGACATGGAACATTGCCCATGCATACAATTACCTAAGAAAAATCTAACTGGAGCACAGGTCTGTTCCTCTCCAGCTTCCTTATTCCTATGGGAACTTCCACATACACAAGTCCTAGCACTATCCATCAAAAGATAGCATGCCATTACTTCAGCCCAGAAGTACATCTACCAGGCAGCAGCTTCTCCAGATTCCCAGATACAATCTGTGCCTCCCATGTTGCTTTTGACTTCATCCGCCTATTTCTTTTCTGCCATCTCCCATTCTGAAGGCTTCCAGATGAATGGCTCCTAGTGCTTCCAGTTCAAAAGAACTGTGCAGCAATCCCAACTTGTTATAAGCAAGCTACTGGTCTACCACCAAGCAGGAATCAGTGGTGGCCTCTTTCTCCCACAGTTACAGTCAGAGGGGCTTCTTGAGGAACCAGCCTGTACTGAGAAAACAGGAAAAAGTAGCATATAGAAAGCAAAGGGAAAACAGGAAGAGGCAGAAGGGGAGAAGAAAGAAAAGAGAACTAGGCCAGCTAAAAGTAACCCAGCACAAATAATAAACAGATACAGCGCAACCCAACACATTCAGAAAAGGTTATTATCAACTACACTCTAAGACAGTGTTGTTGTTATGTGTCTTCAAGTTACTCCAATTTATGGCAATCCAATCCTAGTTTTTTCTTGGAAATATTTATTCAAAAGAGGTTTGCCATTGCTTTCTAGATGGTGAGAGAGTATGATTTGCCCAGTTCACCAGTGGGTTTCCTTGGCTGAGCAGAGATTCAAACCCTGGTCTCTGGAGGTGTAGCACAACTCTCAAGCCACTGCAACACATTGGCTCTCACACAGCATACAAGGGAAATAAAGTGACAGTGTTATAATCCCAGAGGCATCTACATTCCCAACTTGTATGCTGTGCAGCGGCAGCGGCGGCGGGACTTTCCACCTGGGCCCCGCGCCTGGCC